TTCTTTGGAGGGATGCATCCACTGATGGCAAGGCTTATTCTACTATAGTAGTTTCCATTCTCTTTTCCATTATACCCATAAAGCCCCAATGTATTCCAGTATTCTCCACAGACCCTAAACACCAATATATTCCAATAAGTATATAATTAACCACCAGTACGAAGGTGTTGTGCCTTGACAGAAGATCGCCTTTCCTGGCTCGCTCGCAGGCTCTCAGGTGTTCAGGGGCCAGGGGTCTAGAGGTTATAGGGTTTAGGGTTCTGGGGTATCGTGAAGCTGTAGGGATTAGAGGGTAGGGCTGGGGGGTTCAACTAGGGCCTTGGTGCCCAGGATTTAGGATTGGCGGCCTGCGGCATCTCTAGAGTTTGCACTGAGGTTCAAGGTTTGTTTCCAAAGCAGGGGGTTCAGGGACCCAACCTTCATGTGCGTGGGATCTTGTGATTACGAACAGTCCGAATGAGCATGACCTGCTTTGATCGGAAGTGCAGAAGTGAAGAGGGTTCATTGAGATTAAAAAACGATGTTTTTTTTTTGAGTTTGGTGTAGGTTTCGGGGCTTTGGAATGCATGCGCGTTGCAGGGCTTTAAGTTTCGGAGTTTCGGAGGAGGATTCATCTAAGGTACAAGCTATGGAACCATAATTTGAGACAGCGAATGGGTTTGATTGAGCAGCAAGACAGGGCATAGAAGAGGTATGCAATGACCCCGAGGCCCATGCTAGGGCCCCATGGTTCCATGTGTAGCAGAACGAGGCTTTGGAGTTCAGGGTTCAGGGTGGTTATAGCCTGCCACAGTTGGAGGCACTCGACAGGTTCCAGGTGTAGGCTTACTCGGGGATTTTTCATGTCCCCAGTATGCGTAGGGGCATGTGTAGGCACCCGAGCATGTTGCAGTAAAATCAAATGGTCTTCAATGTGTTCTGCATTCCTTCGCGCGATTCTATCTGAACCCATGGGTTCCCAAAGCCCACAAGATCAGTTCAGAGGACCTACTGTATGAGTTCAGGGCTGACAAAGTCTAGGCTGAGCTTTGGGATGTAGACTGTTGGTTGCAGGGGATGGTTTATGGACATTGACCGTCAGGCATGGCGAGAGTGTTTTGGATTGGTTGTTGAGAGCCCGGGGCTCAGGATTATGGATTTGAACGGGCCAGGGTGGTTTCAGACATCAACAAACATGTAAGGGCCCTTTGAAAAAAGGTATACAGGCAATGGAACTCAGCTGGGGTACCAAGTGGGAGCTGCTAAATGGCTACGTAGTCTTTAACCTCACTGGAGGTTTCCTCCGGCTTCAAGCGTTTAATCCCAAAGTCCCGCAGCCCTAGTTGTACGCCAAAAAACCAGGACCCCTTTTGAGATTTTGAGAACTGTCCCTCTGCAAACGAATCCATGCGCAGACAGCGGATGGATGTGTTCGAGGAGTCCGTAGATCTTCTCGGCCGGCTTCTGAAGGAGGTGTGTTTACAAAGGGGCGCATGGTGTTTCGGGTTTTGAACGGGTTCCATCGAGGGCTGACGGTTTGGAGTTTGGCGAGTTTAGGGTTCAGTTTCTGGGGGGTACATGGTGAACATGCAGAATTCAAGGAATAGTATGCCAGCCTGAATATTTCATCATGTCATCCTCCGCAAAGACTCGCTGCGCATGTGTCGAACCAGCAAATGGCCGGCATTCCGGAAAGACGTTGCGAACTGTGAGATATCGGAAAGCAGACATGCACGAGCCATGCCTGCATCTTTGGCGTACGGGAAAGCCTGAACCAAGTGCCTGCCCTATTGAGGTAGGACGTTCTCCTTCTTTGTCCCCACAAGCAAACTGGCCCTCCAGGAAATCCTCCTTCTGTCCCCACAAGAAGTAAACTGGCCCTCCAGGCAGTCCTCCTTCTTTGTCCGCAGGAGAAATAAACTGGCCCCAGGCAGTCTTGCTTCTTTGTCCCCAGGACAAGCCAACTGGCCCTCCAGGAAGTCCTCCTTCTTTGTACCCCAGTACCATTCGGGCCCTGCAAGTCTAAGTAGCAAAGGCCCAGGGCCCGTACTGCGACTCGACATGCTGCCAGCGCTCTTTAAAAAGGCCGCTATGGCTATGGGACTCCTCCCACAATAGACACACACCCTGAAATAATGGGCCCTGCGGGGGGGGGGGGTCACTCTCCGCCCTGCTCATTTTCCCACTTTCTGTGAGTGTGGGGTGTGGTCAAGAGATGAGCCCTGCAACATGACTTTTGGGGCATTGTACGGTATAGCATTGTAGTTTCGTACACTGTGCCAAATGGTGAATCTACGCATTTTGACAGTGGTCCAACGCTCCCTGCGCATGTAGGTTGTAGGAAATAAACCCCGGGCAGATTTCCCGGAGACCACTGCCCTACCCCTCTGAAGTGGGGGGTATCACAGTGTTCATGGTTTGGATGACTACCCGTCTTGCCCCTTTGAGGCCCAGGGTGTGGAGTTTTGGCCCTTGGACCTCTGCAGACATCAAGCTGTTGGAGCTTTTCTGGTTCTCTCATTTCTAAATGCGAAGCCTGTCCTGTAGCTCAATGTTGGGCAGGCCAGGCCTTGGCACTCTTAGCGTGCCTCCTCAGCTTTCACTTACGTCTGCCCGCTCCACCACCCCAATTTTTCATCCATGAAGTTTAACACCCAGTTGTCTACAACTGTAGACCCAAAAGTCCTGAAGCTGTAGCATCCTACAATCCCTAAAGGCAGCGGAGCCGAAATCCCTGGACAGCCCCTGTGCGGGTGGCCGGCATCTTGGTCCGCATTTTCATCTCGGGATACAAAGGGGTGTGTAGGCTTCCACGGGGCTTAGGGCTGTTTACAAGGTTTTGGGCTTAGGGTATGGGGTCCAGGGTTGAGGGCTCAGGATTTAGGATTGTGTGGGGTCATGGAGGATGATGCAATTATGAGCCCAAAGATTAAATGCAGCGTGCCAAACCAAACCCCATGCAGTGCACAATTTCACGCCAGATGCTTCGAGACAGCCGTTGGAATTCCTGTGACGCATTTACCCTAACCTCTGCAAGATCTGCAGTGGCTTGCATGAACCAGGGACATCACTCGTCCACAGTTTGGGGCTTAGGGTGGTCGTGATTTCATCTTGTGTATACATTCCCGGCAAGGATCCAAACACCCTAGACGTCTCAGCCCTTAACCGCGTGAGCTAGAGAAGTCTATCAGGTTCGGCTCGACCATCATCCGTTGCTTTTGCAACCAGGCTGGGTTACAGGGCTAGGCTAAGTTAGCCGCTCAAACTTACCCTAATTCTCTCACGACAACCAGAACTCGTTCAAGGTTGTGTCTACGGGCTAGGGGCTTGCGGGGTAGCTACAGCCACGAGGAGTGGCGCGTGCCAAAAAATCACCTAATAAAACTGGTCTTGCAACAATACTGGTCAGTGCCATTCTCCCTCGCTGAATTTCGATTAGCCCTGAAAGTTCAATGTTAGGGATGTTACACCCCCAAGAATGGAGAATCACATGGAACAGCACATGGAACATGAATAGAAGCTGATCATGGGAATATGCAATGTGTACTGTTATTGTTGATATTCTTATCATTATCGTTATTAGTATTATTATCATTTTTAATGGCACTAATATTATACCTAACGTGTGTTCCCCCTTAGGTTGACCTTTGAAGGCCTTAAACAAATCGCTTCATGCTGGACCTTTGTTTCTTGGAAGGGTTCCCTTCCCAGTTGAAGCGGTTCCGGGTGCCAAGGCCTTTCGTACCTGGGTTTGAAATGGCCATGGCCTAGAAGCTTTGCAAAGCTGAGGAACACTAAAGATAACTTCTGGGACTCTGGCCCCAAGGCTTCAGATTGCAGCAGTGAAGAGTAGATTTCGCATGGAGGGGTTACTAACCCGAAGCTCTTGTCCCTAGACTCTGAGCCCTTGCCCCGACACCGTAAATCCTAACCCAATGCGCTGCACGCACAACTTTACACCCCGAATCCCATCCGCACTTGTCAAGTAGCCTTATTGTATCCCGTCTAATCTGTGCGCAGCCCCATCGTGATCTGCCAGACTATCCACCAGCTGGCTGAAGATCTCAGTGGAAGCGACTTACCCTTTGAGTTCCACAAGCTCACGACAGGCGGGCCTCTTAGAGTATGGTTCACAAGGGTCAGTCGGAGACATGGTACACTGGTTATAATGGGGGTAGAAGGATGCGGTAGGCATCACAGGCATAGCGCAGGATCTAGAGTGTAGTAAAGATGGGAGAGGCTGTTGCTCTGTTGGCTCCTTCCTTGCAAAAGCATTGGTTGTGGGTCGGGTAGGCTCATGGAGATCATGCGGGGTCTATTTGGAGCCTGCTTCTAGAGGAGTGGTTGCATTCCTTGTGTGGGTGTTTTGGAATGATCATGTTGAGAAGTTTTCCCCTTCAAGTACAAACTTACAGCAAGCTCCATGATTCAAAGCTGGTGTGCCATAAAGCAGCACCGGAAGTCTTGCGACGTCCAAAGCGCTGCTATCATCTTGAGTAGATCCCTCCCCTCAATTAGCGTGGAGAACAATTCGCGAGCCTTTGCAGACTGCTGTCTTTCACAGTGGCCTATGCGCAGTCCTATAATTGTGTCGGTGAGTGCAGAATTCGAAGCTGTCAAAGAGACGTCTCAACTTCCTCCCATTCCAAATCCTTTATCTTGTTTGGGATGGCTGTAGTTGTTACCTTCCACACTGCAAAGCTGGTATAGATCAACCTGAAACCCTTCACTCCGCATTGCCTGCATAAGATGTGAACCGTAAAGCAGTGAAGACTTTCTGAGAATCCCGCAAGGTTTGCTTTGAGCCTGTTTGACGGTGATGGGCTCATTTTTGGGTTGTGAGGAGTCCATCATCTTGGGGGTATGTACTGGACCCCAATAAGCCCCTAACACGGAAGCTTAAATCCAAGACCAGGGAGCTCCAAAACGCTAAACCCCGGATCTCACAAACCTCAAACCAAAAATTCCGCCCCTTAAATCCTGACCCTGCCCCCTTCAAGATGTCTACCGCTTAAATTTTGAGATCTTCAGAGCCGCAGGCTTAAGTTCGCAGCAACGAACCAAGGCCTGAGATGTGCGAGCTACACAGTGAAGGGTTTTCGAGTCTTGCGGGTGTGTGGGTTCGAGAGTTTCAGGGGTTATGCCATGGGTTGAGAAGAGTTGTGGGTTTTCAAGGGTCTTGGGTTTTAATATTTTGGGGTTCTCGGGTCTTCACGTATTGGACTCAAGGTTTTCATGTGAGATTTTGGGTTTAGGCATTTCAGGGTTGAAGGGTTAGCGTTTGGGGGGACATTTTTTGGGCAGAAGATAGGGTTCGCAGGTGAAATCTTGCATTGCTTCATCGCAGAGTCAGACTGCTGCACATCCCGGAACATGATGTGCAAAAAGGTAGTGCGGTGCTTCCTCCATCCGTCTCGGGGTTTTCTCATCATGCTGGATCATGTTTGTGGAAGCTTAGGGTTCAGGGTTCCCTTGCATTGGACTAACTTGTTGAGGCTAGGATAAAACACGCCAGATCTTTGTTATGGGTATTTGGAAAGCGCGCAGCGAAGCCCAGAATAACTGTTGTTTCGATGGCTTCCTACGAACATTAGTAGCCCACCATCTCGACACTGCTTCCATCTCTTGCTTGGTTAGCATGGCTTGGTATGCTTTGTGTGTTGCATGACCGGAAGTATCAGCTGCTCCTGCTGCTGCTGCTGCTGCTGCTGCTTATACGACGACCACGACCACGAGTAGGACGACGGTGACGACCACGACTTCGATTACGACTACCAGTATGACGACTATTAGAGATATGATCACTGTCACACGATCACTATTTCTGCTGACGCTCCTATTGGTGGTGGTGGTGGTGGTGGTGGTGGTGGTGGGGGCGGCGGCGGCGGCGGCGGTGGTGGTGGTGGCGGCGGTGCGGTGGTGGTAGCAGTGGGTGGGGGTGCGGGGCGGGGGTGGGGATGGGTGGGAGGTGGGGCGGGGATGGGGGTGGGGGTGCTGGTGGCAATCGGTATGCTGCCGGTGCGCGGTGCTGGTGGTACCGCTGCTGCCACTAGTCCTGTTGTGTTGGTGCCCAGCAGGTGCTCAGGGCCTACATGACCTTCAGAGGCGACCGGGCCGCCATGTGCTTGGGGCATATCAGACTTTGCGTTTCATATCTTGTAGAGTTTGGGGTGAGGACTTTTAAAGTGTGTTCTTCAGCCTTTGGATCCTCATTCTGGAGCTTCCAAAGGTGGTTAGGCAAGCCGCAGTTCCTGAATCTCAGTGCCCGAGCCACAGACATCCGCAGACACTATTCACTGACGGCTTTAGAGACCTTTCTCAACCGGACGGAGAGCAGATGCGGACGTAGTTGGCACGTATTCTGATGATAACCTAAGAATCCGGATAGTTTTGGATTTATGTTGAATAAAGCGCCCACTACCAATCGTGGAATACCAGTCTAATATAAACCGCCACTATCCTTTTGGGCCACCAGTACTGAATGATGGCCTCGGCAACAGTTCAAGGCTAACACAGCTTGGGCGTGGATCCTCGCGGTTTCTCTGCCTTTAGGGCCGTTGTTTGGGCTGTCCTAGCAAAAGGGGCTCCACTACCTTTGGGTTGCACAGACTGTCTTTAAGGTTGCACAGACGGCCTCTGTTGAAAGATCCCAAGGCTGGAAACAAATTACGGTTCCCCGACCCAACCCAAGTGAAGCCTAACGAGCCTCAGAAAGCGAAGGTGCGTTCTGCGACGGGGCAGAGAGGGCTTGCTGGAACGCGGCAACCCTCTGGGTAGGCAGCTGCTGTGTGAAGGTCTTGTAGCAGCTTGTGGCGCATTGTTTGTTGTCCAGGGTTCAGGGCGAATTCAAGTCCACGGTTCAACTTCACACTGATTGGGGTTGGGTGCTTGACATCTAGGGAATCTAGGGCTTGCAGCTCTTGCTGCAAATCCCATGCGGCATAGATTGCAGCATAGATTACTGGGACAGTGGCGCATGCCGAAGCAGGCAGGATAGCCTTGAGTACGACTTGAACCTCTGAAGCAGTCCTGTATTTCGCTCGCCCATCGATTTCCATCTACCTATCTACCTGTCTACTCTACACATCTACATTATCATCTACCTATCCATTATTCATCGATCTGTTAGCATATCGAGATCTGTATCCATCTCCCTATTGATATCTCATGATATCTCTATCTTTCTGTCTTTCAATCCATCTATTTAGCCAACAGATGTGATGGTTAAATGAAAGGGTTTGGTTTTGGACAATGTTGTGGAAATCTCAATGCGCTTGCATTGCATGGTAATTTCCTCAGGTCTTACTTGGCCATTTCTCAAAACCACGAACCTCTTTCTATGCTTCCAAACGTGAGGGCCTTTGTGGCAGGACCTTCAAGTAGGATTCATAATCATCCCCCTTCAATAGAAACCCCATCTCCCCAAGCGGGGTTTTAATGGGGAGGGCTTCATGGCAAAAGCTCCGGCAGGCCTCATATCCTCGCGCTTGTGTCCCGGTTCGTGACGCGCCACCATGTGCTGTTTCCCGTGGGAGCATTCAGTCTATACTCTTTACTTCAGGGTGTCGGGGTTCATGGCGTTACTCCTTTTGAGCTGTTTTCGTGTGAGGCTCAGGGGAACAGGTAGGAGGGTTTGGACTAGCAGCAACTTACTGCAAACATAGGCGCCTGTTTCCTTTAGTTGTGAACAAAGTGTGCCGCCGAAAAATCCCAGCTTCTGTGGAGTCTGTACAACTGGGGATGATAGCAGTTCAGGCAGGTGATACCTTAGGCGGACTGCCCACCCAGTAATAGTGACTATAAGGGATAGTGGAAATTATAGTAGGGTCCTCTTATACTCCTAGTATACCACTATTACAGGGTGGGGGGTCCTCCTAACCCATGATCATTACCCAGCTGGACTTTTGGCCTCGTAGTCGTAGGTCATGTTTGCGTCTGGGATTTGGAAAAATTGCTTGTCAAAAGAGTCAGCCTCCGGTTGCCAGTCCTTGCACTGTAAGCTTAGATCATACTTCGCGCGAGAAAGGGCGCTAAAGCCGGCAAATGAAAGCTGCAAGCGTTAATTCCGTACATCTCAAGCCCCCATATCTGTGAGCCGCAGACACCCAAACTTCTTGAACCCCCACGCCAAGCTGAAACCCTGAACCTTGAACCGACACAAAGCCCTGCATGCCAAGAGTGCTTCAAACTGACCCTGCCTCCATACTTGGAGTTTAGAAAGTTATATACTTATAGCCCCTATAAAGGCGCTACAGGCCACATAAGAAACCCAGGTATGCCATGATAAACCTGCTACCTGCTTAATAAGTCCCCCGAACCCTCCAAGTATTCCCCAACAAGGACCACGCAGGAAAACAGAGTGTTTAGAGATTTGAGTTCGGGTATGTGGCGTGCCATGAAAGAGATTCGCATGACGCCCCAGCCCCAAAGCACAATCCCCAAGGCCTAAGCCCTAAACCCTTAGCCCTAAACCCTAAACCCGAAAACCCCAAACCCTAACCCCTAAACCATGAAAACAACGGGAAGGAAAGGAAGACTTTCCAGGGTCTACTGGATTGGTGGAGGGATGACTTAGCGCTGCTTCTTGGCTTTCAACGGTGCGGCAAAGAGAGCCGGTCTGGGGTAAGGGTTCAGGATTTACGGTTTAGGGTATATTTTTTTTGGGCTTAGGGTTTAGGGTTCAGGTTTTGCGGTTTAGGTTTTAGGGATTAGTATCCAGGGCTGGCCCTAAACCTTAAACCCCAAACCGTTCAGGGTCAGTCGTATTTGAAAGGATGTAGGTCTGTTGCAGGACATGTTTTAACGTTTTTGGCTTGTGTATTTACGATTTGTTTTTCATGGCCGTATGCACTAGGCGAATGGGTCCAGTGAGTTCTGAATTTTTAAGAAGTGTGAAGTGCCTTGGCTATTGCAGAGATGGTTTTCGGACGGTATCCCTAGACCCTCAGCCCTCGACCCTTCAACTTGCGACAAAGGCTTCTCAGTGAAGAATGCGCTGAGACCATTGCAGATGCTGTGGGCAGGAAGCTGGATGGAATTTGTCATTTTTGAGCTTAAGGCTTAGGATCTTTTAAGGGTTTAAGGTTCAGGATTTACGGTAGCGCTGGTTATTAGTTATGCAAGGGCAGCATTTAAGATCTCCGAGACAACACCTAAGGAGAGTCAATGAAAAGATCTCCGCAGTGGCAGCAGTGTTGGGCACACCTTTTTCAAGCAGATTCTTAGCCGCCTTTAGGGCTTGGGGTTTAGGGTTTAGGGGTTTATGCAGGCGGTCATGATACAATCCAAGCCTGAGCGACGCATGGATGATTACCATGTGAATGAATTACAAATTGATATAAACTGAACATGAATATCCTCGTCTTCCAACTATTGCCCGCGCTGTCTGTGGCGTGAACAATTGCGACTCCATGTAACTCGGGGATCAACGAATTGGACGGGACGAGCTATGGGTTCACTAACAGGAAGGTACGGCCGTTTAACAGCTAAGTCGTACATATCGACAGAAAAAATTGAGACACTTCCGTTCCGTGGTTTAGGGGTTTAGGGGTGTAAGGGTGTATATGAGCTTAAGGGTTTGAGGTCAGGGTGAATATAGCCAGCTCCCATTGGCAAGCGTTTGGGGTTGTGTTGTTCTTTGAGGTTGGTTGGCTTTTGCTACTATCTGGGGCAGTGCTCATGGGCAGCAGGCGACAGAACTGTCAAATACATCCGTCGCAATAGCTGTCACAAACAAAAGAGAAGCAGTAACAGTTTCAATGTTCTCCCAAAGTTGAAAAATGAGCTTAGTGCAGGTAAGGGTGACTGAACAGTAAGTTTTCTAGCCAGCAGCAATGGCATTGCCACAAATCACGCGTAAAAAGCCAGTAGAACAAAAAAGTCGAAGAAGGCGCACAAGGAACAACAGAATAGAAGCAATAAGAAAGCACAAAGGAAGTTCTTCCGTCACCGCAAACCATCAAACATCGTGTAGGACAGCCCTAAACCCCAAACCACCAACACTAAACCTTAAACCCCAAACGCTACACCTCGAACCCTAAACCTTAAACCTTAAACCCTAAGCCTCAAACCTTGAATCTAAACCCGCTCAGGACGGCCAAGCTCGAAGCTGCAAGATGCGCTGAGTGCGGACATTCTGGTCTTGCTTCGGGGGCATTGTGGCAGGTGGGGCCTTCGGGGTTTAGAGTTTAGGGTTCGGGGTTGAGGGTTCAGGGTTCAGGGGTTAGGGTTTCCGGAATAATCAGCAATAATGGAAGATCACCTGGAACATGACATTGAAACTGGGAGTATCTAGTGGTTGGTAGATACCGGGATGATAGGAAAGTTATGGTGCGGGTGCAGACCGATTCGTATTACAAAAATGTGGACATCCATGCAGCCCCATTAGGCTGGACACGAGCCGTATGTTATTTGCACTGGCGACACACTGCATGTACCAGGCAAAACGCTGTTGGTCATGCCATGAAGTGGCACAGGTGGCAGCTGGCTGATTCAGGCTGTACTGTTCTCCTTGTTGTTTGAGACCGTGCGCTGCATCACTCAAAAGCAGTCCAGCAGTACCGTGCCATGGCTCGGCCGCGGGCACGAGCAAGGCCTGCGCGTGTAGTTCCTAGCTTGCGGCAGGAGCCCATGCATGAAATCCATCTTTGTCCCGACTTTGTGTAAGAGATCTTCGTCCCTTTCCTCAACTGGCTGATATTTTGGCCGCTGGTCAGGGCCTCAACTCTCTGCGAACGCACATTGCCCCATTTCCCCTTGATGTAGGCTTCACGCCGCATCTCCACGAGAGTGGAAGTTGGATTCCTCAAGCTCTTGGAGCCGAAGGCTGCCTTTCTCATGAAATGGTTTTTAAATGATTTTTCACATGCCGTTCGCCGATTGGCAGGTGTGGCAGATGAAGCAGGAGCACTCGAAGGTTACCTTGTTGGGTTGTGTTTCGGTACATGGCTTTGGCCGCCATGTTTTGTGTCCTGTGCAGGAAGCCGCAATCTTGTGTATGACGCAGTGGGTGGAGGTTGGACGGACCAAGGCCCCCTCACAGGCAGGAAAGCGTCCCTGGGGTTCGTAGAGTTCGTTGGATCCAATTCGGTTGCATATCTGTGCTGTAGGCGAACTGCCACAAGAGGAGGCGTCAGGTCAGGCGCTTAAAGCTTGTCCACATATTCTTGTCGGCTGGTTTGGTATCCATTTATCCTTTCTCAACTTGCGAGGCCACCGTGCTGGGGGGGGACATTCCCCCCCTCAGCAAGTTGGAGAGTGAGGACGAGGTGGACACCAACCAACCGGAATCCACCACCTCCTCCTCCAACAACAAGTGAACCGCTGGCCATTTCTGCCGGCCCAGAATACGAGCAGTCGACACTCTGTATACCTCACCTCCAGGAACCTGGGCCTCCCAGGTGCAAAGCGCGTACAGACGCGCAGCACGTGAGGCCCATCCAGACAAGCATCCTGGGAACCCAGAAGCCACCCAAAACTTCCGGCACTTGACTCGGACTGGCTACCCAATGGAGCAAAAGCTGCCGGACACGTTGTGTGGATGATCATACTGAGCAATGCTAAGCACAGTGAAGGGGGCGGGGGGGGAGAGGGGGGGGGTGGCAGATCCGCTCCGTGACGTGACCTGTCGAGTACTCGCTCCTGTAACAGCTGAAATCTTGCAATGTCAGTGCGAGGAATTGGGCCGACGACAGCTGACTTCTCTGCTCCAGGGTCAGCGTCCTTTGAAGGTTTCTAAGGATCGGAGCTCGGTTAATGAATTGCAGGTGGCTTCGTGTGCGTGTCAGAAAGACATCTGGCTTTGAGGCTAGAAGCACCATCATGGACAAGTGGAAGCAGCTGCCTGTGGAAGAGAAGAACCACATCGTCGCCAAACTTCCGATCCAAGCAGGCTGAGGCTATGACGCATCCGTGCGTGTCGGGTCGTGTTCGTTTTCTCGCAGCGCTGCAGGCACAGTAGAAGCCTAAATATGTACTACTAGTATGGTCCTAGATTCCTCGTAGGGTACCTCCAAAAGATCTCGCACATGATATTGATCAACACTTGGCTCCCTACAGTATTTATGAAGGAGTCCAGGCATAAGCTGTTGCTCTTTTTGAAATCTGAACCTTTAATCCTAAACCAAAAAAACCTAAAGCCTTAACCCTAAATCCTAAACTCTCTGGACCTGGGAATCCCGAATAGGTGTCCCCTCCAACAAGAACGCACGGACATCATTGTGGGGACTCCCAAAGTAGCCTGCCAGCTTTGAGAGACTCGAGGTTTAGGGCTTAGGGCTAAGGGTCTAGGGCATTAGGTACACCCCTCAACCGCCTAGACCTTAAGCCTTACATCTTACCAAAAAGCTGTTGCGCAGGTTTCGCCCCCTTGAGGCGCAAGCCCTCGAAGAGAGGGTCATGAAGCTTGTTATGCAACGTCTTTTTCGGGCTTAAGGTCTAGGGACTTAAGGGGTACGGGCTTGGCAAACATCAGGGCTTAGGTCTACGGGTCAGGCGAAACCCTCGACGGCGACCCTCCTAGT